TCACCTGTGCTGGAAGGTAATGGCATAAATATGATTTTTACTGTTAAAGTTGGAGCTATCTACAATGATTGATGTTTATAACTGTAGGGCCTACAATGCTCCATGGGACAACTGTATTTCTCATAGATGTCCATGTCCACCATAAGCTGTAAACACTTAGCTTTGTCCTAAAGGAAATCCTTGGGTGGTATCAGGGGAATTTTAGTCCTTCATTCCGCCGCCTTCTGGCAAAAACATACACCTGTGTAACTGGTTGACTGTTCTGTTCACAGACATTAATATAAACTACAATTTCTTGAGTTTGGGAAGTGAAGTCTTCAAAATGAATCAGTGTGCAAAGAATTGCTGTCTGCGTTATTGTCATTTCTGTGTTGTTGTAGATTTTTCTACTTTAGAAAGCCTACAGTATTGAAAGGATATCCACAATTTCTCGTAAGTTATGGGTAAGAGAGAAATGATTTGTATAATAGTAGCTAGTCTTTGTATAAAAATTTAAAATACTGCTTAATTTATAATACTTTTATATTGGGTTCAAAAGGTGTCCAAATAGCCAGGTAGAGAAGAAAAAATTAGTGAATTAATTGTGAATTTTTGTGACTAAAAGTTAGGTATGTAAAATAGCTATAAGAATTGTTTCCTTTAAATTAAGTATTTTATTATTTTTTAACTATAAAGATTTTATAGGGTAAATTTTGGTGAGCCAGAAAGTTAAATAATTTAAAATTAGGTTTAATGTTTCAGGTCATATGTTTCTTATATAAGAAATTATTTTAATGATTCTGACAAAAAGAATCACTCTGATTAATTAAATGCTGATTAAAAATTTTAAGATAAATCACTTAAATATTAATTCCTCTATTCCTTCACCTACTTATGAGAATAATTTTAATATATAGAGTATAGAAATATATATATTCAAATACAAATGAAAAAATATATATCATATATATGTATGCTATGAAATATAGATAAAATATGTAAAATATGTTTTTACATATGAAAACATATGTAAGACATGTTTTCATATGAAAATATATGTAAATCATATATATGTATGTTAGAAAATATATAGACAAAGTTTCTCTATTGTGTTTTCTAGTATTTATGAATTAATAAGTACTTGTGGGATGATTCAATGGTAGAAAATCTGCCTGCAATGCAGGAGACACGGGTTCAATCCCTGGGTCGGGAAGATCCCCTGGAGTAGAAAATGGCAACCCGCTCCAGTATTCTTGCCTGGAGAATTCCATGGACAGAGGAGCCTGGTGGGCTGCAGTCCATGGGGTTGCAGAGTTAGACATGACTGTGAGGCTGAGCATGCATGCAAAGTACCCACCCACATATTAAATTTGATAATTCTCAGTTACTTATTGATTAGGATTGAATAAGGAAGGAAATTTCATATAAATATCTACTTAACTGAAATTATTGATGATTATTATATTGCCTGTATTCAAGATCCAGTTTTTTGACTGTTTTTGATTCCCTCTCAAAACTAAATATCCCACAATTGGTAGAGAGTAAAGTGCTCTCAAGTTAAATGAGCAGGATTTCTAGATAAGGTCAGTTCTAAACACCCTAATAACAAAGAGAAAGCAATTTCGAATATGGAATTTTCTGACTGTACCAATATATTTATGATCAATACAAAATTTATAAAATAAAATTTAAAATTGAATTCTCTTGTTCATACCCAAAGTCTATAGGAAAATAAACTTTGAATAAATAATTTTTTTCAGGACAGATAACCTCAGGGCACACCAGTTAAAACACTCATTCCTGAGTCTCTGAGCCTTTCTCTTTACAGCTTCCCCCTGTTATCCGAAAGTTGAACATTTCTATGAAAACTTTTAAAAGCTGAAATGGCATAAACAGAAGAAGCTATCACCTTAGAACCCATCTTCCTAACAGATGGACAAAATAAATCAAGATACAGTACAGATGTTCACAAACACAATTCAGAGCAATGATGACTTGATGTTGAAAAGATAACTATAGTTCCCTGAGGAAGGAGCTTGGTGGTGTCTCTCTGGCTGCTGGGGGTAGGTGTTGTCTCTATAACTGATTGTTGCAAAAGAAATGCTGAGCACTGCTTTTGCCTTTTTATTGGTAATAGCAAAATTCCTCTTCAGATCTCACTCGGTTATTAATACAGTTTTTTCACACAAGAGAAGTGGCAGTAAAGCCAACTTTTGAATAGGGGACATACCTGTATTTCCTCTTTGGTCTTTCTTGGATGCTGCCTCTCGCAAATACTTCCTTGTCAGCTCTTCGGGGTGTCTTCCCTATATGTATCCATCTATGTCTCTGATATTTTCCATCTGCTACCACCTCTCTGCTGTTTTCCTTTCATCAATATATACTGCCTTCCCACTTTTCCTGTTTCCTTTCTCCTCTCAACTCCTTCCTCTCCCATTTTTTGAAAACTTTCATCAAAACATTCTAGAGAAAAAAGAAAACCCTGTAAGTGTCTAGGAGAAGAAGAGAAATGCCAATGGTTCTCTCCCTTTCTTGGGGTACTCCATACTCTTCCACCCACTCGTTTCTCATTCACTTCTTAACTATGGTCTGGCCTCAACTCAATCACAGAATGCAAACTGCTCTCACTAAAGCCACTAAAACTCCCTTAATTTTCACACTCAGTGAACCTGATCATCCTTTGTCCTATCAGACCATTTATTTCGGCATTTGACATGTCCTTCTGTGCTTCTTGTAGTTCTCATTGAGTACCTTTTCTCCCTGTAAGTTCACAGCACTCAGCGTTCCCGTTTCCTTCCTGCTTTTCGGCTTAAGAGTTCTTTTCTGGTCTCTCCCTAGTCTTTCTCTGTTGTGAACTAGGACTCTTGGTTGCCACAGGAAATGAGTTAATTGAATGGAAATGGCTCTAACACAGAATGAGAGAATGGAGAAATTGGGTGAAAAAAACGATCTGGAACAGAAGGAAGCAAGCCTAGGAGCCAATCGACGGCCAAAATCATGTCCCAACACCAGCTCAATGAGACCTGCTGTCCCTACTGTTGAGTTTGGAATGCCAGCTGACACAATGCCATGGCCATGGATGCGGGATGCATTTGCTGGAGTCTTGATATCGCGGTCTTTGCAACCAATATTCTCTTTTGTCCCAGTACCTTTTCTCTTTATTTCCATATTCTAAATGGAGGTTTTGTGGATTTGGTTTGCCAAATCTAGATCAAGTTCCCTCACTCTGTGTGCAACAGGAATGGAAAAGTCAGATTCTAGCTCTGTTGGTTTCTTTTTTAAAATTAATTTTTATTGGTATATAGTTGATTTACAGCGTTGTGTTAGTTTCTCCTGTACAACAAAGTGAATCAGTTATACATATACATACGCATATACCTAATTCCCATATAGGTCGTTATGGCCATCATCTTTTGGCTTCTTGAATGGGTGATACCTATACCGGCCACCAAGGCCATGTGGCAGAAAAAGTGGTCAGATGTTGGCTATCAAATATATGCTGTGTGTCCACTGTGCAGCTGCTTTAATACAACTTCCTCAAGCTTCTTTCCATGTCCTTCCTTATGCACACTCTTCAATCGATAGGTTATTAATAAATATGCCTTCAGCTACTCCCCAAACTCCTAAGACATTACTTATATGAAGGCATAGTAGACTCATATTACTAAGTACATCTCCTCTTAATGTTCAGAGGATGCTCGCTCCACAAACTGGCCACTGTAGCTGAGACCTTGATTTCAATTTTTGATGATTATCTAGTCAGTCACCACGTACCTCCTCTCTCCTTCGCTAACCCACCCTTTCATATCTAATGTCATCAGGTCCTAGTGACTGCACTTTGAATTCTTTTGCATCTATCTCTTTGTCTCTCTCATAACTACCAAAGTTATATTGCCAATGGACTAGGCACTATACATGCATTTGAATCACTTGTGGAGCATTTTTTAAAGTACAGAATTGTTAGAACTCCATCTTGATCCACTGAATTAATTTCTACAGTAATATCTCACAATATATATCCTGCATAAAAAGCTCCACAAACAATTCTGATGGATAATCTTGTTAGAAATCCCCTGGACAATAGCAACATTTCCTGAAGAGTATCCCTGACCCCAGCTTCTCCTCCATGACATGTTTTCTGCACTAATGAAAAACTAAATTAAAATACTCTCCAGTGTCTCTCCCTGTCTTAAAAACTTTCAGTATGTACATATTACCTGAGGCAAAGAGTTCAAGATCCTTCACATAGTATTCAATTCATTTTATAACCCTGCTTCTTTTAAATATCTATTTCCTTGATTGATAATCCATGTCCCAGACTCAGAATTTCCCTACCACAGTCTATCAAGTTCCCACAAATTTAGCAAATGGTTAGAATGTTTCTTTTACGTAAATATATTAATTTCAGCACATTATTTGAACTGAAATTATTATACTGATTGATATCTCTTCAGATCCCCCAAATAGTTCATTATAACAATATTTTATGAAATTAAAAGGACATTCTGGTAGAAGTATGATTTATTTTGACTCCACTTTCCAAGCGTTCAATTCATAAAACCATAGTGAATGTTCTTTCTACATTTTTTGCATTTTATTTCAGGAGACTTCCAGTGAAGATATGGCAAAGGAAAATATAACATTGCTGACAGAGTTTATTCTCACAGGACTTAAGTATCAACCACAGTGGCAAATCCCTTTGTTCCTGGTATTCTTGGTGATATACCTCATCACCATTGTGGGGAACCTTGGTCTTATTGCTCTCATCTGGAATGACTCTCAACTTCACATCCCCATGTACTTATTCCTCGGGAGTCTGGCCTTTGTGGATACTTCCATATCATCCACAGTGACTCCCAAGATGCTGGTCAACTTCTTCATCAAAAGCAAGACGATCTCTCTCTCTGAATGCATGGTACAATTTTTTTCCTTTACAGTCAGTGCAACCACAGAATGCTTTCTCTTGGCAAGTATGGCATATGATCGGTATGTGGCCATATGCAACCCTTTACTTTATCCAGTGATTATGACGAATAGACTATGCATGCGACTGTTGGTCTCATCATTTGTAGGTGGTGTTCTTCATGCCTTTATTCATATAGGTTTTTTATTTAGATTAACCTTCTGCAGTTACAACACAATACATAACTTTTACTGTGATATTATGCCACTGTTCAAAATTTCTTGTACTGACCCATTTATTAATATTCTGATGGTTTTTATTTTCTCTGGTTCAATACAGGTGTTCACCATTCTGATTGTGCTTATTTCTTATACACTAGTTCTCTTTACAATTTTAAAAAAGAAGTCTCTTCAAGGTATAAGGAAGGCCTTCTCCACCTGTGGAGCCCACCTCCTCTCTGTCTCTTTATACTATGGGCCTCTTCTCTTCATGTATATTCGTCCTGAATCCACACAATCAGATGATCATGATATGATGGACTCTCTCTTTTACACTGTCATAATCCCTTTGTTAAATCCAATTATCTATAGCCTGAGAAATAAGAAAGTCATAGACTCGCTGATGAAAATGTTAAAGAGGAATATTTAGGTCTCATAATATCTGTTCTCTTTCCATTAAAACAGTCATAAAACTGCAGATCAGATTTTGTTATGTGTTGACTAGTGTTCAATTTTTTTTTAGTTATAACTGTCATTATTTTCATGACCTGTTAGTTTCTAACAAATTCCTTAAAATGTCTATCTTTTTCAAAAACACAAAGGCATTTTAATTAAGTGTTCATATCATACTAAAATAACTAAAGCAGAAAACACATGAAAACATTTTACATGCTTGTATATTCTTCAGTATGGTTTTATAAATGAATTTACTAAGTATATTTTAAGCACTAAAATAGTGTTGTACCTCTGAAAATTACTTGAGCACGATGTCTTTGATAAAATATAGCTGTATAAAAATGAAAGTCAGTTGCTCAGTTGTGTCCGACTCTTTGCAACCCCAGGGAATGCAGCCTGTCAGGCTCCTCTGTCCATGGAATTCTCCAGACAAGAACACTGGAGTGGGTAGCCATTCCCTTCTTCCCTTCTCAAGGGGATCTTCCCAACCCAGGGATCGAACCCAGTTTCACATTGCAGGTGGATTCTCTACCATCTGAGCCACCAGGGAAGCCCAATATATACAATATAGCTATATAGCCTGGAGACACGTATCACATTTAACTCCACAGGAGAGGTGGGTTTGTGTTTGAGTGAACAGTGGCAAATCCCAGGAATTCTGCTAGCCATCAAAAAGTCTTTTACTCCACTGAATCTCATGTCTTGTGGGGACCAATTCACCAATTTCATCAATTCCAACCTAATCAGGAACACCCTCACAAAAACACCCCAAATAATGTTTAAGTAGATATCTGGACAGCCCATGGATTAGCTGACACATAAAATTAACAATTACAAGTTCACTTGCTGCCAACTTAGTGCCCATATGCATATCTTAAAAATTATATTCTATTTCTAAATAATGATAATAACCAGGAATAATTCCACCCAACATGATACAACTCTGCTGTGTACAACCGAAAATGTATTACCTCTTCCCAAGAGTGGAGGTAAAATTTTTGAGTGAAGTTTACTATTCATTTTCTTTGATATCAGGTAATACAATGTCAAATTAACAACACTTAATTATGATAATACGAAGTCAGTACATCTTATGTCTCATGATAAGGGAATAAGAATGGAAAGAAAACAAAGACAAGTGCTATACAGACACTAATGTATTCATATCAAACTAAGAAGGAAACCTCTTGGCAATTACAATCCTCATATCTGTAACTGGACATGTGATTGTTGTTGGCATTTTAACTAACTTCTTTGACTACCCATTCTGTGTTCTCTTTGCCTTCAGCAAGCACCTGACTCAGGTGGTCATTGTTCTTCTCTTGGTGGAATGACCCAAATTTCTAAAGAGTCTGGGCCATTAGAACTATTGTGTGGTTTGACCTAGAAGTTTTTCATTGACCTTAACCATGGGAATAACAATGCTAAGAGATACCCTAGAGGGTGTTGTGTATTCCAGACATACTGTTTATTACCTTTTCGTGGAGGAGTCCAGTTTCCTTTTGTTACTTGCCATCAATCACCTCACCCAACATAGCAACTCACTTCTTTGTCTCATGATTCAAAGAAATGTAAAGTCAAAGGGACTGAGTGGTCATCTACTTTCAGGTCAATGGAAGAATTGTTGTCTGTCTTGGTGGAAGCAGGCTGTCCTGCTAGAAGGTTTTCCCTTTACCATTGTCCTTCCTGAATGTCACAGAGAGGAGCTGTGTGCAGCAGCTGTCCACTTTCTGATGGTGTCCACATACCATGCAGAACCATCTGTAAGTCAGGCCCCAGACTTCTCGGTCAGCTAATTATAAGGGCACAGGGCCCAGCTGCGACACAGAAGCCTTTGCGGCAGGATTGGAGGCCAGTAGCACTGGAACCCAGAGAAGGCAATGGCACCCCACTCCAGTACACTTGCCTGGAAAATCCCATGGACGGAGGAGCCTGGTGGGCTGCAGTCCATGGGGTCGCTAAGAGTCGGGCACGACTGAGTGACTTCCCTTTCACTTTCACTTTCATGCATTGGAGAAGGAAATGGCAACCCACTCCAGTGTTCTTGCCTGGAGAATCCCAGGGACAGGGGACCCTGGTAGGCTGCCATCTATGGGGTTGTACAGAGTCAGACATGACTGAAGCGACTTAGCAGCAGCAGCAGCATTGGAATCACTTCTTCAAGTAACTTATTTGTGCCTTCAGGGCCTTTCCTGCTTGATCAAGTATATGCTGTTTGTATTTGATGAAGGAATGTTTCTGTGCACACCGAAATTTAAGGTTAGTGGGTCAGATAAGATCCAGTTTGTCAAGGGCAGCTCCAGTATCATGGCAAATTGGTGGTCCATGGTTAAACATTCATTTTTCTTTACTGAGGTTGACTATCAGGCCTACAGCTGCTTCTCTACAGAAGAGTAGTTATCCACGGAGGATGGCAGTGTTTTGCTCAAAGTTCTAAGGGCTTGCATTTCGATCCACCTCCAGAGGCTGATTAAAGGCTCCAAGCAGCTGCCACTGCTGATTCAGGCTCCACTGGATCTGCTGGATATGGCCCGAGAGGCAGGACAGCATGGTACAAAGCCTTCTTTTGCTCTGAGCTCCACTCAAGACTAGCACTTGGTAATGGGCTGGAATACCACACCCAAATAAGGATAATACTGCCTCCACAATTCACAGAGGCACATTATGTGTTGTGTCTCTCTTTTTCAGCAAGGGCCAGATGTAACAACTTATCCTTAACTTCAGAAGGTTTTTTTTTTTGACAAGCTCTATATCACTGGACACCTACAAATTTCACTGAAATAGAAGATCCCTGAACTGTCGTCATATTTATTTTCTACCCCTGTCCTGCAAGTGGCTTCCTAATAAATATTATTTCTTATTCACTAAGAGTCGGACACAACTGAGCGACTGAACTGAACTGAACTGAAGACCAATAAGCACAATGTCATCCAGGTAACAGACTAAAATGATATGATATTTACAAATCACATGTTTGATAAAAGATGTGTATCCAGAATAGATGAAACAGTCCCAATACTCATAATAAAAACAAATAAACATGTTTCGATGCTGTTCTCTCTAAATATCCCACCCTCGCCTTCTCCCACAGAGTCCAAAAGTCTGTGCTGTACATCTGTGTCTCTTTTTCTGTATTATCAAGGGTGAAACAGATCACCAGCCCAGGTTGGATGCATGAGACAAGTGCTCAGGGCTAGTGCACTGGGAAGACCCAGAGGGATCAGGTGGAGAGGGAGGTGGGAGAGGGGATCGGGATGGGGAACACATGTAAATCCATGGCTGATTCATGTCAATGTATGGCAAAAACCACTACAATATTGTAAAGTAATTAGCCTCCAACTAATAAAAATAAATGGAAAAAAAATAAAAACAAATAAAATCAACCTAAAATGGGTAAGATATTTGAACAAACACTCCATCAAAAAAGTTATAGAGATGTCAAAGAAAGATGCAAAAAGACACTCTATAAAAATTAGTTACTAGGGAAATGCAAATGAAAGTGCAACAAGCTATACTTATCAAAATGACTAAAACTGAAAAAACCATCACATATTGGAAGCAGTAATACAGGTATTTGTGATCAAGGATAGACAACCAAATAAGTTAGGAAGTAATTACCCAAAATTAAAGAGGACATCATACTGAAGCCAAGTGTTGGTTATGTTGAAGCTACCACTGCACATCACATTCCCCACTCTATTCCTCTGTGCATTTTTCACATGATTCCTCTCTTCTATGATATTTTTCTCCTCTATTTGGCTTTCACCAGCAAAATTCTAAGGAAGCAGATCAATAAGTCTATGATGCTGTTTGCTTCCCCCCATCTAGCCATCCAAGTCCCAAGTGGAGGTTACGCATTTTCTTTGTTACTCAGATAGCACATCAAATTATCAAAAATAAGTCAGTTAACTTTTGTTTATCTGAATGAATTACACTGAAAACTTTCTCTGCTAATGCAAAAAAGGAAAATCTGACCATCATACCACCATTTCAAAATCCCATAATAGTTTTCCTTTACATTGGGATATAGAACAAAGTCTCTGACCTGGCCTCCACGTTCCTGTGTTACCCACATAAGCTGCCTCCCTGATCCCATTTGGCTCTGCATGCATCCTTCTTTTCAGCTACATTTACTATGTTGTGTTTCTCTAATTATCTAGGCTCTCTGATAAACTGATAGTCCCTCCAATGGTGAAGGTCCTGTGGACTGCACCTGTCTATAAGCTTCACCTGTTATAAATGAAGATGCTCAGGTCCTAGCCCTGATCTACTGAAACAGAATTTGCATTTATCTAGACCTCCAGGAGACTCATAGGCATTAAAGTTTGAGAAGTACTGATACAGGTCACATCTCATTGTGGTCTTTTGTTTTTCCTTTACTCCTTCCCCAGACCTTTGCTTAAAAAGCTTTCTCACCATATTTCACCTTAAAGTTGGGAGTTAAGCATGTGTCTGGAATGTGAGCTACAGTTTGTTTGAGGAGAACATATTTACTTGGGGTCATGTCTTGACAGGAATCTAGATTCTAAGACCATACTGATCAAAGCACTCAGAGCATCAACATTGACAAACCGGAGTTTGCATACACATGTCAGAAGTGTCATCTGTGGTTGAAAGTGGTGACATAAAGTGTAATTTATATTGTTAAAACCAGAACTGTCTACTATGACTGATGTTCATGATTTCAGAAACTGTGATGCCCCGTGGAACAAACTGGATTTCTCATACATGACCAAATCCACAATGCCCAGGAGAACAGCTTAGCTTTGGCCAAAAGTTAATCAGTGGGTACTATCAGGGGAACTTTAGTCCTTCATTCCTTCTGCTTCAGGCAGAAGCACACAGTTGTACAATTGGTTAACTCGTGTGTTCAAAACAAATTTATATAATATAATTATAATTTATATTTATGAATGCAAATAACATTTTCCTGAGCTTAGATAATGAAGCTTCCAAAATGCAACAGTGTTCAAA